GTTAGAAATAAATAAATAAATATATATTATATTTTAAAATATATATTAAATACAACATGTTTTGCATGAGAACATCAATGTTACCAGAAATGGCAGCATCGTACAATTCAATTTCCATGTGATTGAATAATACACAAGCGCTATCTGGAAATGTCTTTGGCTGACTAGTAGAGAGGCTAGGCTTGCTGATTAGCAGGACAATGTGTTGGGTTTGATGTTACCAAAGATTGGAATGGGCAGTGTCCTCTTCATAGAGGAAGAAAAGGGTTTGGAATGAGTACATTAGAAGGTAAAGAATTACTCGACCTCTATGTACTAAATGTAGTATTGCTGGTCTTGAAAGGAAGGTATTTACAATAACACAATGGAATAAATTGCCTTAGATTCTCATGGGTCTGTATACTGCTAATACATTATTAATAGAATGTTTGTTGAATGTAATTTAGTGACTTATTCATGACTGTCACTAAATTGATAGTGGGATTCACTGTCAATCTAATGACAGTGAGTGATTATGTTAATAAATTAGGGTCGATCAACGTTTCTCGTCTATTGAATATAAACATCTTTCAGAGCTTGACTTTGGATCCATCCCCATGTTATTCATGTGTAAGCTTTCTGCTCAAATGTTTTTTTTGTCACTGGACAATTATTCAAATATATTTTAGGGTGCTCAGCCTATCACTTCTATCTTTGATGATATTTTATGAGAATATGAACTGTAATTCATCTAAATAACACATTTGGTTAATTTTACAGTCCCAAGAATTTCTTCAATTGACTTTGACTACATATTTATGAGTTATTTGGATTTACATTCTTAATTTAAAAGTAAAATTGTTTGAAATTAGTCTTTATTTTTCTACTACTTGCCCCCTTTATTTCTTTAAGACTTTACTTCTATTTTTCACAACTTACACACAGTTGTCAGATAATTAAATTAAAAGCAAAGATTGTGTGATTTCAATTGCATAACCCAATTGTTATCAATTGATGAATAGTAACTTGATTACACATCGAGAAATTTGTTTTTGATGGCATTGACAATGAAATTATCATACAACGATTTTAAACAAAACTTCTATTCAATTGCAATTTTTTTTTTTTTTTGTAAAAGATTGTAAGTTTATATATCATTTGCTTCCAATCTTTTGTGTTCAATGAATTATTATTTATCAAGTATGAGTAATAGCTTTAATAATATTATTTTGCTTTTATCGGTTGGAAGAAAAAAAACTAAATCTTATTGTTAAAGTGTCCACTTAAGAAAAAATTTCTGACTCTACCCCTAACTATACAAAAATTAAAAGCAACAAGGGAAAAGTTGCAATACATCTATCATTTCCTACCCTCTTCTCTCTTCTCACTTTGGGAGGCCCCTTACTCTCAGCCCTTTACTGGCCCCAGTGAAAATTAGACTTCAGCATTGGGGTGTGATCGAATAAACGAATAGAAAAAGAGAAGGTAACACTTGCCAAGCATAGCATCAACTTATTTAAGAGCTTTGTAATTTAGTGTTGTTCAAGATTAACATTACTACCACGGCTGAAGCAAGGCACTGATGCAATGATTCAAAAAGGTATGCAAGATGTTAGATGTTGGACCAAACTCTAAATTTACAAGATCTAAATTATTTCAACATCTCTAAATTGTTAATTTGAAAATAATAATTGCTTTTCAAATTTTTTTCTCGCCCAAAAATTGGAGCAAGAGTTTCATTCCATTTCCAACACTACAGCTTCGTCAGTCACGCCTATTCCTCCCCCTCCCCATACACTGAATCCCATCTCTCTTCTACCTCTCTCTCTACACACAGAAAACAAAGAAATATACACTTAGCTCACTGTCGTTCCATCCATGTCCTCAGCCTCACGCAATGAGGCGATTTTGGTTTAATCATTTGAGCACACTCTCCTTGGTTCTGTGGTGAGCGATGTCTGGGGATTGCAGTGGACCGGGAAAAGACGGGTATTCGTCCAAATCTGTCCCGTTTATATCGGGGATGACTATATGTATTAGACGGTAGACGTATACAAGGATACCTGTATAAACCCGTGCGAGGATGGACTTACCCTTACCCCCACCCCGTCCCTGTTATACCCCGTTATATATATATATATATATATATATATATATATACTAGTTATAACCCGTGCCTGAAGGCATGATAAAATATAAAATTCGAGCGTCCAAAAAATCGAACCCACTATATTAAATTTTTTCAAAATATAATAACTAAAAATTAATTAATTATTAAATGATTAGATATATAATAGAAATGAGTGATGTGATATTTTTAGGGAAGAAATATATAAATGATTAAATATGTGATAGAAATGAATGATGTGATTTGACGTTTGAGTCTGACAAAGGGATGATGGATGATGTAAGTAATTGGTGATGATTTTAAAAGGAAAAATATGACTGAGATAAAATTCAAACACACTTCTGTTTTATTATATATATATATATAAACTCTTAGACCCAGGCTTAAAGCCCTAAGGCCTTTAGCTCTCCTTTTCCTCTATCAGTAGCGCCGCCCGCCTCTCTCTGGCTCTCTCTCTCTCCTCTTCCTCTAAGCCCAATCGCTGCACTCATCTTAAAGCCCTAAGGCTGCCTGTTTTGTCATGTTTTGGTTTAATCTCAACAAATCAACCAAGTACTTGCCTTTGCTTTCCAGGCTGAGATCAACCAGTTGCTGAGTTTAATCATCAACACTTTCTATAGTAACAAGGAGATCTTTCTATGTGAATTTATCAGCAATTCCTTGGATGCAAGTTTCTTTTGTAGTTGTACTCGGATCGGTTGGATATGATTTTTCTTTCTTTAATAGATGGATTTTCTATTGATAGATTCAGTTTTTTTCTTTTGTTATGCCGGTCCATTTTTTGATGTGATTCATCTATTATAGATTGTTGCCATATGTAGATCATGTTCTTTGAATTATGATTTATTTATTTTTCTTGTTTCTGTTATGTTGATCCAAATGTTAAAATTTTGTAAGGATCTGTTTGTGTTCAAGATCACTTGGCATAACAGTGAAAACAAACTGAAAATATATAGATTCTCGAGTTGTGTGTTTTCTTTGTTGGTTTAGCTCGTTTTTTTTAAAGTAATATTTTGGACCTTTGTTGTTTGTGATGGGTTAAGCCCAAATAGTCCAATTTATGTGTTAAAGTCCAACCCCAGTTGAGGAGCCCAACCTCATTTTGATTCCACCAAGCCCAAGACAGTCCAAGACCGGTTAGACTTCTCGCTTAGCACGTCACCAAGAGGAGAGCACGGGAAGTTTATCTGCACCGCCAAAGGAAACCGTCCAAATCCACCAAGTCTAAGACAGCCCAAGGCCGGTTAGACTTCTTGCTTAGCACGTCACCAAGAGGAGAGCACGGGAAGTTTATCTGCACCGCCGAAGGAAGGAAACGGTCCAATCTTTGACCACGTTTCATGAAGAGCTCCCCAACCTCTTCCTTCCGTTGAGGATAAGTCGTGATCTCCACCAAAGATAATCTCTAAGCTGCGATAAAGAAGCCTTGAGGATATGTCATGATCTCCACAAGAATGATCTCTTAACTACTATAAAATGACTCTAATCTGGGAGAGGAAGCACACATGCTCCATCAGAGACTTACAGAAGACGAACCGACTACCGGAGATTATTATTTTCTTTGATTCTCCATTCCCCTCTCAAAGCTTGTATCTCCATTCTCCATACCTTTGAATCAATAAAATACCCGGCGACTGAATCCATTGAAGAGTGGACGTAGGTCGAATTGACCGAACCACTATAAATTGTGTCTTCTCTAATTTTTTCGTTGATTTCATTGCATTTATTATCTATACTTGACAGGTGGTGTGCAAAACCATTTTTGTGCATCATCAGTTTGTGTTATGTTGGAATGTTATACTATATTATATTGTGTTAGATTATGTTAGATTATTTATAATGTTATTGAATTATTTAAAATGTTAGATTTATTTAGAATTCTGGATTATATTAGCTTGAACTTGGGTTTAAGCTTAGGCATAGGCTTGGGCTTGGGCAGGTACAGGGAAAGTAGGGACGGGGGCTGGAATTAGAAATTTACCCGCGGACGGGGAAGAGAATGAAAATTATATCTGTTAACGGGAGTAGACCGGAGATGGAGGAAATTTTTTTAAGCGGGTATGGGGATGGAGACTATACCCCCGCCCCCGCTTCGGTCCACTGACATCCCTAGTGATGTCGTATGTTATCGAGGTTTGGATTCTTCAACAATTGGTTCATTGAACTTTGTCATTTAACCTTTTTGGGGTATTTGACTTGATAAGTAGTAGACTGTAATTATTCTTGAAAAGGATTTAATGTTTAATTGCATAAATTACTGTACTTATTATTATTTGCATTCGTTTGTTTTGAAGTTTCATGGGAAAATTACAAACAGAGCAGTCTTTTCTTAAAGGCTACATGAACAACTTGCAGTTGAATGCAGAAAGCCTTGGATAAGAAATAATCTTCATATATTTGTCTTTTATTAATTGGCCTCTTCTTTTTTTAGTTGTTATGATTTTCAGCTTTAGATGTATACATGAGGTCGAGAGGAAGGAGGCAGCCAAAAATAGGCACCCACCCAAAAAAACCTGTTTTGTTCAATTAGTTGAATTTGCGATTCTTGGGGTTGTTCAAAAATGAGAGGTATTGTGTGTGATGCTGATTATTTTTATTGTAATTTGTTGTAACAAATGTTTGAACTACTCAATTTTCTTTGTAAGCTTCTGTGTTATGGATTTTTTTTCTATTGGTGCCACCATGTGTTTGTTATATTGCCTCAGAGAAAACAAATATGTTCAAATGTTCAGTTTTTCTACTACCCCCACCCCCATCCGGCAGTAGCTTTTCCCTTGTACATGACACCAAGTGACTAGATAAAAAAAAATCTTTTTGATTTTTGGAAAAATATGGGAATATGAAAACATTAATAATCTACACACAAAAAGAAAAATGTACCCTACCAAATGCACAACCTGAAAAGGATTTGTACAATGCAAGCTCAATTATTATAGGGTATGCATTATATGACTTTGTCACTATTGAAAATCCCATTGAATATCTTATAAAAGTTTGAAAAATAAATGGGTATAGAAATGACACCAATGACACATGTGGTAATTGCAAGGGCTGATGATTCACCCAATACCACATAAGTCCCTGTACTAAACGCCACCATCATTGCTCCGATGGCAGCAAGAATAAGACTGGCGACGTGTTCTTGAATTTTTGCAAGTACGGATATGTTATCAATCCACAAGCTCACAAAAATGAGAAATATGGCTATAGAAGAGAGTAGCAGAGCCATGGTATCTGAGATGATAAATGCTTGGAAAGCTGGTTTTCTTGACAGAACTGCCATTCCTTGGTTTAGATCGCCACTTTGATGGTAACCACCAGGCATGGTGAATCCGGCCGTGAAGGTTACGGTGGCAATGAGGGTAGCCACTATATTATAACTGTCACCTATTTTCCTAATCTCTTCTCTGATTTTATCTTTTCCAAGAGGATTAGGATCTTGATCTTTCTCTTCTATGCTCCTAATATTCCGAAAGCCCAGAGTTGCTCCGGCTGCGCTTAGTAGGTTTTTGATTAATACCTGCAATTTTAGTTCTGGAATCATGAATTTGTGGTTAAACAAAATAATTCCAACTAGTAGTATCAAAATTGGATTGATGATCATGAGCGAACTCAATCAAAGCTAGATTGAAGATTCTGGTGCAACAATCAGAGTAGACAATTCAACAATTTAGTTGGTGTTCATATTATAAGAGAGGTTCCCTCGGCCATGTGTGTGCGATATGGTGCGAAGATTGATTTCTTTCTGAGTACATTAAGGATATAAGTTTGAAAATTTTGATGAAAATTGATGATTTTTGTAGAACTATTCAAACGATGAAGTGTGCTAGACTAGTATTCTAGAACCTTTTTTGGACTTCAAATGTGACTTATTTTACTGATTTAATAATGTGTAAATTGAAATGATCCCAATTTAGAAGTTCAACACTCACAATTGCAGTAATGTTACTAAACCATAGTAGTTGTCATACATTAGGTCGATAAATTATATCAGTTTTTTAGATCCTATTAGCATTAATAACACAACAACTCCACAAACATAAGGAAAGAGTAGGGCTTTCTTACTGGATGAACTTTAACTTCGGATTCCTCAATGAGATCCAAGGGAGTCAAGTTTTTATTGTTGAAGGAGTTCTTATCTACCATAGCATGATCCACGAGTAGAGGTGCAAAGCAAGTGGAAGCTGCCATGAGATGGAGAGGCGTATTGCCATCGACGTCTTTCTGAGTTACAAGTGTAGCACTGATTGCTTCATAGTTTCGTAGAATATATTGGGCAAAGTTGCTCTTCTTGTACTTGAATGCAATGTGAAGTATATTTTGCCCACTGTCATTCACCATTTCACAACAATCTGGACAGTCTAATATGATTTTTTGGGCTGTATCAATCTCCCCTCTCGTAGCTGCTATATGAAGAGCAGTGTTCATGTCATTGTCTGCAATGTATGTAATAGATTTATCCACAGTTAATAGCTGGGATACCCTGTATGCACGACCAAAGAAAGCAGCAAAATGAAGTGGACTCCATCCTCTTTCATCTCTTTCATTGATTAGAGATTGCTTCCAGACCAACAATTTTCTTGTACTTACTGACACAAGGGAAAAGGACAGATGTTAGCAAATATTATTGGGAAAAGAAAATAAGAATTAGAGTGGGTTGTATTATTTTTTTTAAAAAAAAGAATCATATTTTTCGGCTTAATCTCAAATGGAAAAAAGAATAACGAAATAAGATTTATATAGTCAATTTAAAATATTGATGATAAAACCTTAATTCTCAATTTAGCACTATGTACCTGCACCATTGGAGATTATTGCTGCATGTAAAGCTGTTCTACCACATGGACCACCATAACCTGGTAATGTGCATTTTTCCAAGATCACTGCCACTGAGTCATCAAATCCTTTCTCAGCAGCAATGTAAAGTGGAGTTTCCCCAATATTATTGGCAGTATGAGAAAACTTGGGGTCTTCCTGTGCCAAAAATTCGACAACATCAAAGTGATTATGCCGAACAGTATCGAATAAGGGTGTGTCTCCGCACTCATTTCTCATCCTCTGAATCACCTTGTCAAATCCAATACCACTTTCAACCTCTTTATCAAGTGATTTTGCACATCTGATGAGTTCCTGGACTACATCGTAATTTCCATTTCTCGCTGCAAGGTGAAGCGCGGAGTCCCCGTTTGAATTCACTCGACGTATCAACAAAGGGTGCATTTTAAGGATCTCTGTCACACATATACCTTTGCCTAGTAGGGAAACAAGATGAAGGACAGTGTTGTTGTTTGGAGTCGATTCATCCACAAGTTTATCCTTGTTTTGCACTAGGAAATCAATGTCGCCCAAAACAGCAGCATTGTACAATTTTGCATCCATATGATTGGATATATAACTTGCCTCTTCCTTTTGCCTCTGTAAACATTAGCAGATTCTGGTGAGTGGGTTGGGTGTGATGTTACAAATGATTCGAATGGTCAAGTACATGAACCAAACTAGTCATTTATACATGCACCCTATACAATTAGATGGTATATATATACCAATCCTTTTCATATGGGAAATACATGGTTGGTTTAAGTTCACTACAACTAATGCATTACGTACTGAACTTGATCAAAGCCAAAACTACTTCTCATTTCAACTTGGTTAGCTTCATTCGAAAACTCCTTTGGGTTCATTAATGAACATACTAGGGACATCCTGAGATTTACAAACATCTTCAATGCATCTAATAAGCGATCATGTTTTTCATAGGATTTCTTGTTCCTCATAACTTTAAATATCTCCTGGTGTTAGAATTTATTCTTTTAAAAAAGTCACAAACAGAAATTTACTAGGAAAAAATTGTAAATATTTTTTGAGCTAGACCTAGATAACATAGGTTCAAGCACTTTGCAGGTGGAGTAATTATCTGACCTATCGAATTTCATGTCTATTATTTTCGGATTGGGTAATCGAAGTCGTGAGTAATCCGGCCTATAATCACGCTTAAGTAATGATAAACGGTTGAACCCACTAAATTTATTTAATAAACAAGAAAGTGTTCGAGTGTGATATGATAACCTTTTATCACCCTTTTATCCACTTAAATTAAATTGATAAGATAATAATTGTTCCAGTTTGTTTTTGTGAAAAAATAATTGTTCCAAATCCACACCAATTCCAGGCACACCCGTTGGATAATGAAGATGTCCCAAGGCCCCTAACCTTAACTAGTCATCAGTCAACCGCCTCCATCTAATTGACTTCGACGGTTCGATTATTCGCTCTCTCCCTCGTCGAAGACATCTCTCAGTCTCACCGTCTCAAAGCTCGATCTTAACCTCGATCAACTCGATCTCAATGTAGATCTGACTGCATCTCAGGTTTCAACCTCAACGTTGATCAACCGTAATTTCAAGTTTTCTTCTCTCCCTCTCCTTTGATTTCAGCCATAGATACGAGGGGTCATGCTGGCTCCACCGTCATTCACAATCATATAAGTTATGTGTAAACAAGTACTGTTTTACGTCCTATACCAATAATGCAGACAAGTTCTAGATATCGTTGCATGAAAATTTCTATAAAATGAAATGAAGTAATATAGAATACCAAAATTTTTTGTGTATATTAATCTTCTCCTTTCTTTTTTGACTTTTCCTAGAGAAATGTGAAAAAGAGAGCACCTGAAATTAAGAATCCTACCAAGGATAGGGATAGCAATCCATTTTTTCAAGCTTGAAAATTGTCAGATAAAATATACTAATATGATCAACCTTAAAATTAAACCCAAAAATCTATAGTTAGCTAGATACACATGGGTAGAGACTATAGAGAGAGAGAGAGAGAGAGAGACTCACAGGGAAGCTGTTGGTGGCGTCGATAGTTGTAAGAGATGGGAGTTGTAAGAGATGGTGGTGCAGTAGTATTTAACGCAGGGTGGCCTAAAAGTATGGACAAAAAAATATGGGTTTTAGGTATATCACTTACCCATAAAAAAACTTAAATCCATTAAATTTTAAATTCTACAAAAAAGTCCCAAAAATTTAAATTCAATCAAAATTTTTATTGTAATAATTTGGGCGTATAATGCAATCTATAACATTAAAAACTTAGAAATTAAAAAATAAAAAAAATACTCAAAAGTCAACTCATATTTATTCTCACCCATTTTCTCTTTGTATGGTAAAAAAAAATAAAAAACAAAAAAAAAATTAAAATTAAACACTCTATCTCTCTCTCTCTGATAAAAAACAAAAATTAAAATTAAAATTTCTTTTTCGATAATATTAACATATCTTTCTTTTATTTCTCTTTTACATAAAAAATTTAAAAAAAAATTATTGTAAAAAAAATACTAAAAATAAAAAAAAATTTATTTAATATTTTTATTTTAAGCCTTAAATTAATTTGAGCCGCCCCTCGTTTAACGTCACACAATTGTTGGTATTTAATGTAACAATATCTTGTTTATTATATAATCAAGTACATGAAAAAGAGAGGCCTGATGAATGTCTATTTAGGATGACAAAGCCTCTGACGGAAGGTGGATGGATGAATTAAATTACCTCTCTAACCCGGATTCAGATCTCCTTCGTTACTCTCTTTTTTTAATTCCCCTCAATATAATGCTAGATGATTGACACGTGTAAAATTTTGAATTTTAATGGATAAGATTTTTTCTATTGAAAATATTTTTTAATAATGGATAACACTTCACCAACAACAAAAATGAATAAAGAAATATATTATCCATTAAAATTTAAAATTTTATACATGTGATTCATCTAACACTATATTAAAAGAAATTGAAGAATAAGAGTAACAGAAGGAATCTAAATCCCTCCGACCCCTTGCCCCTCCTCCTTACCCGGGTGTAAGGGTACATTATGTCGTCAGCATTATTGACTCCAACATTCCTTGCGGTAAGGGGCAATTGGGATTTTTGAATTAGTCCTTTGATGATCTAATCAAAAGTGAATGTTTGACTTTACTAAGAAATGTCAACATGGCTATATTTGAGGGGACACTTTGGTCCCTCAAATTTATAACATTTTTATTTTTGTCTTTCAAGTTTTACAGTTTGTGTTATTTTAGTCTTTCATGCCTCAAGTGTGATCATGTGAGATGCATGTGATGATCTTCGTCAGCATATTTTACCTTCTGTTTTTTATTGTTCCAAAGTGACACAAATTAAAACAAATAAGGGACTAAATTGAAAAAATTAAAAGATTGAGGACCAAATTGACATAAAAAATATAGTTTGAGGACCAAAAATAAATTTTACCTTTATTTTAAATGTAGTAGTTACAACGTTTAATCATACATAAATTATACATATAAATGGATTTAACTTGAGAGTTTAAATAATCAGTGATACTCAAACTTACAATAGCTTCTGCGTGCAACATTAAAATATTTTCTCATAGCAGTGACATGAAGAGCTGTAATTCTGTCATTATCTATAAAAAAACACGTTAGATAAAGTGTTAAAATATGACACAATTGGTTAACACTATATAAAATAAAAGGGTTTGATCTTCTTTAAACTAACCATTTCGTAAATGAGTAAATTCGGCACAAAATAATTACTAAATGAATCAGATATGTGTAAAGTCAATCAAAAAAACTAATACAGACAATTGAAAGGCTTCGCTGCCATAAACAATAACACCATGACTTGCAAAACAGTAGTAAGATTAAAAAAATTAAAAATAAAAACCGAAGATAGGACTTGAAAAACCCATTATGAAATGGTACCTAGTTAATTAGTTGTTCACATCTATTACTAGAGAAACACAGTTTAGTGTTCGCAAGTAAAATGTTAACAATACCTTATTTTTTTTCTCATTTGAACCACTGATTACCTCTTTAACTACGTATGCATAATTCTCTATCGACTATGTGTCCAGTAGGCATTAACAAAAGGTAGTTTTTAGAACGTATAAAGCAAGGGAAGAAATGAAACATATGTAAAGAGAGATATGGCCATGTAGATGTAGGACCATGCATACGAGGAGAGAGTTGAGGTGTTGCTCCTAATGACTACCAACGGGTAGTGGCCACACAATGTCATCTCCATCTCCGTTGACACCAACACCGCATTTACGCTTGACTCCACCTCCACTATCCTTGCCACCGCCTCCACCACCTGGAGCAACTGCTGAAGTTAAGAGGAGGCTGATGACTGTGAGCACAACCACAATTTTCACGAGCTTAGGTGCAAAATGCTTAAATCTGTATGGTTTATGCAAAATCTCTTGGACGATACATAGTCATGCTACCCTCTTTGAAGCTATTAATTCTTGAATATTTTGGCCTTAAATTAAGGTACAGATAATTCATAAACTTGGGTACGGATGCAGAGTACCAATGACTAGCCCTAGCCTAATAATTTCTAGTCTTTAGTAGAGTGTTTTTTTAGTTTGCTACGTGTAAGAACATCAAATATTAGGTTTGGGAACAGGACAAAGAGAGAAATTGGATCCGGGGTGATGTCGTGATTGTAAGTACTCATTCATTCAAGTAATCATTTTAAATTTGAGAATTGATCTCTAAAAAAAATGGAGTAACTTATCTCTTTAAAGTCTTTTTGATTGGGTACAAGTTTTAGGAAGATATAGATCTTTCTTCTTTTTATTTTGTGGGCTAAGCATAGTGATGAAATATTGATAAATTGTGTCGGGTGTGTGAGTCGGTACTTTTGTTTTCTATAAGAGTTATTGAACCTACTTTGAAAATTTAATACAATGTGACCTTTAAATTAGTAGTAGGTTTCATCATTAAATGGAGTATACTATCAATTTAATGATAATTATAATGGATTCAATTTAAAGGGTACAATGGAGGGACTAAAGAACATATTTTATTTATTTATTTTTCTTTTTTTTCTTTTTCTAAAGAACATATTTCAGTAACCTTTCTCAACTTCAATTCTACTGACATATTTTGGGCGGTTATATGTTTGATGTAACGTTTCCAGCATGAATTGATTTGACTTAATCAATTTAATAACAATCATTGTCATTATTAGCTCATAGTATGCTACCAATTCAATAGTTGAGACAGATTAAATGAATGTATTAAGTTATTAAATTAATTAATTCCAAATAATATTATTGATCCCATGGGAATTGTGTGTGATTGACATTCAATCTTCTCTCCTCTAATTCTTTTATATACTAACGCCATCGGACTATAATAACTTTTATTTTAAAAAAAAATTTTGGAAAAGAGAAGGAAAACTTGAATCGTTGGTTTCAAGAAGGCAAAACATTTAGACGGCAAGAGTACCATTAGAACGAAGATCCGTTGGTTCGAACTACATAACTAGTTTATCAAGTCATCAAATTTGGTTAAAATTTTAGAAAGTTTCAATGCTCTACATGAGAGAGAGAGAGATGAAGTATGTTTCTTGGGAGAGACAGCATACTTAGAATCAATAATTTCTTAATTTGAGACTGGTTGAGCTGGGCCAGCCCGGCAAAATTTTGGGTCCTGTTGGAAGCTAGTACACTAAATCAAAGACGAAAATGCTCAATTTGTAAAATTTTCTTTTCTAAAAATTATAACAAGACATTTATCTTAAGTGCTTTAATTTGAAATCTCTAATGCACGTTGATTCATACGTATTTTTTTTGGAAAGTGGTTTTGTTTTCAAATTATATTTATGTATTAAATATTTCCTAGTTTTATGAGAGAACTTTAATATTTCGTCTATTTCAGGATATATCACTTTATTTGAATTTCAAAATGTATTAATTATATTTTTTTATATAATTTGAAATATAAAATTATTTACACCGTAACAAAAAACGTAACAAATTCATTAAGTAATACTGTAACAATACATTGTAAAAAAAACAATGTTCAGTGATTTTGTGCATGTGATAATAAATTCAAAACAAAGATGGACTATTTTGAAGGAAATTATGTGAAAATCTATGTTTGACAAAATGTAATAGTACAATATTTTGTGTAAATATCTTGTTACACTGTTATAAAGTTCGGATATTAATGTAATTCGATTTCTTGAACTCTTTTCTGCTTCACGTAATAATTGGATTGATTCATATTAGGCGGAATATCAATATAGCAGCTTTGGCCGATAGTTCAAAATAATTGAAAAGAACTTTAAAAAATGTAGATTTATGAGTTCTGCCGATATTTTCAGATTTTTGCAGGGCATTTTTGTAAATAAGTTGAACTTTTAAACAAGTTTAAATTCGATCGTAGGATTATTTTATGCAGTTATTTTTCTTCAAAAAATTAATATATTGGGCCATTGGTGGGCTGGTAAGTGGGCCTAATATTTGAACTCCACACACTGCCCGTCAGGCAAATGGACTACGTTGTGGGTAGAGCGGCCCACTGGCCCGAGGGCCGCCTGTAAGCCCATTAACTCATGAATCAATTTTCTCATGCTTGAAAATACTATTCGAAGTTTTCCTTGTTAACCAAATGAAATTAGAACAACATCATACGTCTCCATTAGTTCCAACGTCTCCATTCATAAGATCATAGCCACGCACCAACACACCCAGGGGCCTTGTGCCTCTCAATCATTGAAAAGTTGGACAACTTCATCAATTCTTCTTCAATCTACTTTTTCGTTTTTGTGTATCTTTCAATAGGAATTCTTTATTTCTGGAGGGGATGGGCTTCCTCATGCAGTGATTGAAAATCCAGTAGCATGTGAACGGCCGGTGATAAAATTGCATGGCTATGAGGTTAGTTCATGTAAAAGGCTAAAAAATCTATATTACCAACAAAATGATGAAGTTGGCTGCTATGATGTGCTGGCATTACTATCTGTGTTCTTAGCCTTTCCAGGACTGTAGATCTAATTCGCGAATTATCCGAGATGTCAGTCTTTTCTCATTGATGAGGTATCAATCTAATTTGCACTTGATTAAACTCTAATTTTAAAAGAGCTCTATTGCTTTTGAAATGGTCCATTACTCCTTTTAGGTGAATTAGTGGAAGAGTTCATCAGAATTGACTTTTACCAGGTAGATGTTTTTATTTAAGGAAGCTTGATGCTAGTTACTTGGTTAATTAGAACTCCCTCGCACCACCGAGGTTCGCCACAAAAAAACAAAAAAGAAAGTTACTTGCTTAATTTGATTTATTTTATTTAAAGGCCTGTTAGTTATTTGCTTTAGATTATCTGCACAACAAGACATTTGATTTGAGCTTGTGATTGTAATTATATAGTCTTGCGACAAGTATCAACCGTTGGTTTGTCTTGAAATAAGAATGGGATCCTAAAATAAACTTTGAATAGCTTAATACAAAGAGTAATGAAGGGATATACGTACTTTAAACTTACTTTGCCTGCACGTATAATATGTTAATTATCTTTGAATTATTGCACACTCATGCAAAGCTACAAGTAGCTGTGGTTTTTGGAAATCAATTGACTCATGTTTCAATTGTTTTAATTATTTGCTATGGGATAATGACATTTTTCTTTTTTATGTTGTTGTGATGGACAAATACAATATAACCATATTAATGTCAAAATACTCATTTCATGTAAAAATATTGATTTGATGCTTTTAAGTTATGCTTTAATTTTGATTGTTAGATTACATGCATGAAAAGTAGGTATTGTTGGAATATAGAATGGGGAAAAATCCAATAAAAATTAATGATTAACTCATTTGAAACTTTTAGCGGCTATTATAAATAGCCACTAAAGGTGTTCATTTTTATCCACCACTATAAATGTTGTCATTATATGCTTGGTTAAATTTATTCATTAAATACATTCAGTGGCAACTTGTTGAGTTTTAGTGCAAAATTATTTTAATTAGCTACAGTAAGTTTTGTAGCTAAATGTTTGACATTTAGTTGCATTTTTTTATTTTGTGGCTAAAAATTTCTTTTTTAGTGGCAATTTGGCAAATGTTATAGTTAAATGATTTAACCACAACATATATTGTCACAATTTAGTGACAATAAAAAAGTTGTCACTAAAACATATAGTGACAATTCTTTTTTATTTTAAGCTACGATAATTGTGATTGTTGAAACTGAAATTTCTAGTACTGACTACTTAAACATTTATTAGAATAGTATGAATCAAGCATTGAATCATCAAAGGTATACAACGGGCCTTACTAACACTGTAAGTGAATTTGGTCGTCAACGTAAAATTTTGTTGGCTCTAAGTTGCAGAGTTGGTTCATTGCCTCACTGTGTGTGAGAGAGAGAGAGAGAGAGAGAGAGAGAGAGAGAGAGAGAGAGAGCATGACTAGGAGGGAAGCAAGAGAAAGACCTATGGTCTCTATGAGAAAAAACTCGAGAAATGAGGGACTGGAAGAGAGAAGGAGTTCATGGATAGGACAGAGGAAGATAGAGAAGATTGATCGAAAGAGAGATGACTGGATTATAAATTTGGGCTCATTACTGATGCTTTGGTAATGAGTCAATACCTTATTTTATTTTGGAATGGGTAATCTGATAGTTCTGGGATTTAGAATTTCATAAGAATTGTAATGAATTTTCATAATTTCCTACCAAATTATAGAATGTGGATTACTTGTCAATTCCTATTCCATTCCTAAGGTCCATTAATGCATATCAAATGGAGTGTTAATCCAACATCAGGGTGAAATATATTAGGTTTTCAAATCATAAGGAAGGAAATAGAGCTTTATTAGTTTAAACCACAAGGACACATAAGAAGAGAAATGGTGGGGACCACCAACATCACCAAACTTAATGCTGTCAGATCTACTACTTCACATATCCAAAATCTAGCACACGTCACTTGTTGATAGTGCAACAGAAAACCACTAATATAGTAGAGTCTAGAACAACTTGCTGCACCTCTGTTCCAACGAATGCACCTGGGGTCCCACGTCTGTCAAAGAGCCGGCCAAGCTCACCCACAAACGGCTAAAAAATGTAACAAAGTCTTCCCAATAATGTAAAAGTGGGAACATTTCAAATACGTATGCTATACCCAAGAAACTAAAAAATAATGTTGCAATCGCAAGCGCGGGTGATTCAGCCAATACCACATAAGTCCCCGTACCAAACGCGATCAGCATCCCTACAATGGCACCAGCGGTGCAAATAACAGCAACTCGGGTTGAACTACGAAGTGTGCGTTCACTTCCATACAGCATCCCATAAAAGTTCACAAATATAGCCATGACAGAACATAGTAGCGCTAGAGCATCTGAGATGATAAATACTTGAAAACTTGTTTTTCTGGATAGGATTGCTGTTCCTGGGTTTTTATCGCTACTTAGATAGTAGCCACCAGGCATGGTGAATGCAGCCGTGAAAGTTACAGTTGTTATAAGTGTAGCCACTATCATAATGGCGTCGGCTGTTCTTCTCAACTTTTCTTTTTTATGCTCTGTAGACTGATCTTTTTTCTTTCTGATCTTGTCCCTAAAGATGCTTATTGCATTTGGCAAGCTTAAATGAGCATCAACACCTACCGGTTCGGCTTTGACCTGCAAGTTAATTTAGTTCTTGAACCATGAATTTGGGAAATATGTGAAGATTATTGTTTGCTCTACAAAATACTGTCGATGCACAGAACAGGAGAGAGTAAACCATAACATAAGAGGAAAGAAAGTAAATAATAGTCTTTGACCAAGACTAATAGATAGTAGAAATTGAATGGAGAAGCAGAAGAACGGATTAATAGATACTTGTTTCTCCCCTTTCGAAGAGTTGAAGGCCTTAAAGTAAACGTATTGACCTTGACATTCCTTTGAAGTAATTAAAGAATGGCATGTGGGGCAATAGAAATGGGTAGATAAATGTTTCTTGAAACCTATAGATACTCGTGTACATTTATCCTTAAAGTGTATATATCATACCTCTGTTTGTGTTATNCCTATTCCATTCCTAAGGTCCATTAATGCATATCAAATGGAGTGTTAATCCAACATCAGGGTGAAATATATTAGGTTTTCAAATCATAAGGAAGGAAATAGAGCTTTATTAGTTTAAACCACAAGGACACATAAGAAGAGAAATGGTGGGGACCACCAACATCACCAAACTTAATGCTGTCAGATCTACTACTTCACATATCCAAAATCTAGCACACGTCACTTGTTGATAGTGCAACAGAAAACCACTAATATAGTAGAGTCTAGAACAACTTGCTGCACCTCTGTTCCAACGAATGCACCTGGGGTCCCACGTCTGTCAAAGAGCCGGCCAAGCTCACCCACAAACGGCTAAAAAATGTAACAAAGTCTTCCCAATAATGTAAAAGTGGGAACATTTCAAATACGTATGCTATACCCAAGAAACTAAAAAATAATGTTGCAATCGCAAGCGCGGGTGATTCAGCCAATACCACATAAGTCCCCGTACCAAACGCGATCAGCATCCCTACAATGGCACCAGCGGTGCAAATAACAGCAACTCGGGTTGAACTACGAAGTGTGCGTTCACTTCCATACAGCATCCCATAAAAGTTCACAAATATAGCCATGACAGAACATAGTAGCGCTAGAGCATCTGAGATGATAAATACTTGAAAACTTGTTTTTCTGGATAGGATTGCTGTTCCTGGGTTTTTATCGCTACTTAGATAGTAACCACCAGGCATGGTGAATGCAGCCGTGAAAGTTACAGTTGTTATAAGTGTAGCCACTATCATAATGGCGTCGGCTGTTCTTCTCAACTTTTCTTTTTCATGCTCTGTAGACTGATCTTTTTTCTTTCTGATCTTGTCCCTAAAGATGCTTATTGCATTTGGCAAGCTCAAATGAGCATCAACACCTAGCGGTTCGGCTTTGACCTGCAAGTTAATTTAGTTCTTGAACCATGAATTTGGGAAATATGTGAAGAATATTGTTTGCTCTACAAAATATTGTCGATGCACAGAACAGGAGAGAGTAAACCATAACATAAAAGGAAAGAAAGTAAATAATAGTCTTCGACCAAGACTAATAGATAGTAGAAATTGAATGGAGAAGAAGAAGAACGGATTAATAGATACTTGTTTCTCCCCTTTCGAAGAGTTGAAGGCCTTAAAGTAAACGTATTGACCTTGACATTCCTTTGAAGTAATTAAAGAATGGCATGTGGGGCAATAGAAATGGGTAGATAAATGTTTCTTGAAACCTATAGATACTCGTGTACATTTACCCTTAAAGTGTATATATCATACCTCTGTTTGTGTTATTTTTAGCCTATCTAACTATTTTCGAGTATCACCATGACAGAGGACCTTTTATAGATTTGATTTATAAACCAGAGACTAATTACTCTTCCTTTGTAATTCTTGGAATTACTTTTTGATCGATCAATGATTTTTTTGGAAAATTCCTAGTGTATTTTTCTCTCACTCATCTTTTCACCTAATGTGTTGACCCTCTTTAATCTCTAACATCTAAAGTCCGTCCATATAATGACAAGGAAATAATGTATTGATTGACAAAGAACCGGAGGAGAGGTTTGAATAATGTATGAAAGAATTTTGGTATATGTCAAATCATGTTTTAATAGCATATCTATAAGGCCTTAGTATAAGATATACAATAACTCTCCAACAATTAGATATTAAATCCTTTTTTTTTTTTATGGTTCAGATGACATATATCATGAAATCAATAGGAAAAAGTAAGGAATCCTTCTTACCAAACCTATTTGAGATGAATCACCGTCGTTCACTATGTCCAAGGGNTATTTTTTTTTTATGGTTAAGATGACATATATCATGAAATCAATAGGAAAAAGTAAGGCATCCTTCTTACCAAACCTATTTGAGATGAATCACCGTCGTTCACTATGTCCAAGGGAGTCAAGCTTTCACTGTCTAAAGCATTCTTATCCACCATAGTACTGAGTTCAGGTACCAAGCAATTGAAATCAGCCATCAGATGGAGAGGTGTGTTGCCATCAATGTCTTTCTCAGTAATAAGAATGTTGCTAATTGCTTTATGTTCTCGTAGGATATGGGAAACAAAGGAAGCTTGCTGATGCTTCACAGCAATGTGAAGTATATTTTCTCCTCTACTATTGTCCATTTCCCAACAATCTGGGCATTGTACTATAAGTACATCGGCTACATAAGTAAGTCCTCTGTAAGCTGCTATATGAAGACATGTATTCCCGTCATTGTCTGCAACGTATGCATGAGATTTGTCCACGACCAATAGTTGGAGTACCCTTTCGTGAAAACCAAGGAATGTAGCATAATGAAGTGGACTCCATCCATTTTCATCCATTTTTTTGATTAGAGATCGTTTCCAATCCAATAACATTCTTGTATTTACTGAGAAATACAAAGTAAACAAAAATTAATGCGGGCTGAAATAGACTATTAAAAATATTATTAACTTGTGGTTATACCTTAGCCGAACAAATTCGCAAAACATAACTCATATAATCGATCTTAAGTATCTCGAGGATACGGCTATTTTCAGCATAGTAACGTTGAATTAATAATGTGAAATCAGATATGAACAGATTTACAAAAATGCACTTGGAGGAGAACCTTTTGGACATGTACTCTTTGCTGGGCAACTGGAAAAAAAAATGGCACAAATTCTTTACAGCTAGAAGCACTTAACAAAGACTGCATAGCTAAATATTTATAGTCATAATTACCATAAAAATTTATAAATGACACATTTATAAGACTTTCATGTGTTTTTTTTTTTTTTTTGGGGGGGGGGGGTGTATATATATTCCCTAAAATAAACCATTGTCGATTTCCTTCCTCAATTTCAGTAGATTTATAGAAGAAATAAAGTGAAGAAGAGAAACATTAAAGAGAAAAAAAATTAAAGCTGTATTTATTTTTTAATGTACTATATTGGTAATACCATTACGGTTATGTTTGTTTGAGGTATTAATGGGTGGATTGGAGTAATTTAACCCTTTAATAATGTGATACTAAGTTTGGATGAGGTTATAACGGCCAAATATTAATTTTAATTAATTCTGACCCGATTTATTATTGTCATTTAACACCTAATATTATATAGTAATAAATACTATGGAACAGATGATATTATTTTCAACAAGTTGAGTATTAAAAATGCAATGATTTTATTATCCTTANACGTGATACTAAGTTTGGATGAGGTTATAACGGCCAAATATTAATTTTAATTAATTCTGACCTGATTCATTATTGTCATTTAACACCTAATATTATATAGTAATAAATACTATGGAACATATGATATTATTTTCAACAAGTTGAGTATTAAAAATGCAATGATTTTATTATCCTTACAAACTTAAAGTCACACTTTCATATAAAAATTACACATAATAGAGTCACACTTTCATTTATTTTCTAATTTTTAATTTAATACTCATACACTATTACTTGATCTAAACATAAATTTGGTATTATAATTATAGATTTATATATTATCCCAATCTCGATCCAAACTTATTACACAAGAATAAGATCAAATAATACTCTTGTCAACAACATTTTATGAATTGGGTGAGAGCTATTACCTAATGTCACCCTTTATTTATAAATGAACCAAACATGTTCATGTTACACCGTAGTCTAGACTTTAAGGGTATAAAGTATCCTTAGGTAAAATCAGGAGAAAAGAAAAGTGTACCCTTCTATATAACAGTATAGATTTTCTAATGCCTAAGGGCGATTTTTCACCCCTTAGGATACCTGTAGGACATAAAATTCGAGTGTTCAAAAACCGATTTCATTATATTAAATAATAATTTTTTTTCTTTATTTTTTTTATTAAAGCATTTAAAATTTATTTTTACCCATTATTTTTTTAAAAATATTGACAAATTTTTTCAAAATATGTAAGTTAACAAAATTTTCTCAACATGTATATATTATCGTATATGGATAATGTCCGAAATAAAAATTATGTTAAATTAAAAATTAATCAAATACTAAATGATTGAACATGTGATAGAAAATGGATGATGTTTTTTTTTTTTTTTGGGGGGGGGGGAGAAGAGTGTATAGGGCATAAGTTGGGAGATATTTTATTATATAGAGCAGAGTGATAGTGATTAGAACAATATGCACCTTCGCTGTTGGAGATAATTGCTCCATGCAAAGCTGTTCTCCCATATGAACCACTATAAGGTGGTGAGGAGCATTTTTTCAAAATCATTGCCACCAAATTTTCAAATCCCATCTCGGCAGCAATATAAAGCGGGGTCTCCCCTACATTATTAGCGTGTAAAAACTCAGGGGGTTCAAGCTTATTCAGATTCTTCCTTCGCAGCATCTTCTTCACAAATTTAACAACTGCACATTCCATGCCTAGTGCACATTCCATGAGGGCCATGGCCACGTCGTAGTATCCATTTCTGGCTGCCATGTGAAACGCAGAATCCTTATTTGAATTCTTTTTACGTAATAGAGATTTATGCATCGAAAGAATCTGCCGCACACATTCTGTTTTGCCTGATTGGCATGCAAGATGGAGAACACTATTTTTGGTTGGAGTGACTTGAATCACAAGTTTGTCCTTGTTTTGCACAAGGATACCAATATCACCAGAAACGGCAGCATTATACACCAGAGGATCCATGTGATGTGGGTATGCAACTGCTATCTGGATAGGTCTTTCAACTGATCCTTAGGATTGGTGTGGATATGTGGGGTGGTGGGTGAGCTTTTATAGTGGGGATCAGAGGGATGGGGAAATGGTTGTTGGCTGTTACCTGATGTTAAACTCAAAACTTGATGTCACCTTGTCCTCCTCTTTTTCCGAGTCTCCCGGCGGGGATCTTCTTTTTTATATATTGCTTTCCCACATGGACTGGGGTATTCATTCAATATGTCAATTTGAAATTTGACTTTAACGTGTCCAACAAGGAATTAAGGTCTTAACGTGAAATTTGACCTTAACGCCTCCTCCTCCTCCTCCTCCTTCTTCTTCTTTTTTTATTTTTTGAATCACGTTTCCAGCNCTTTAACGCCTCCTCCTCCTTCTTCTTCTTTTTTTATTTTTTGAATCACGTTTCCAGCATTGTTTTTTTTTTGTTAAGATCCTCTTGATGCAAGTATTCTGGCTCGTCGTACGTCCATAGGTTGGCCACATGGACTGAGGTTTTTAATATGTCCATTTGTTGCAATAGCTTTTTGACTTTAAACATTCCAGCAAGAAATGAATACATTAAAACATGTTCCTTCCCACAAGAGAAGTTGATACATCACCAAATAGATGGGACTATGAGTTTTTTAATTAAACGGTGTATTTAGTAAACACGATTAATTTACATGCTTTTCATCTATGACCACTGTAACTACTAATCATATTTTTTTATTTAAAAGAGTGATTATTGATCTCGCTTTTAAACAAAAGCCTTCCCACAAGAGAAGTTGATACATCACAAAATAAATGGGACTATGAGTTTTTTAATTAAATGGTGTACTTAGTAAACACGTTTAATTTACACCCTTTTCATCTATGACTACTGTAACTACTAATCATATTTTTTATTTAAAAGAGTGATTATTGATCTCGTTTTTAAACAAAAGCGGGATTGTTGACATCAATTTTAAAAAATGTCGTAATTATTAAAATTACCGCATTGTGGTAAATAACTTGGAACTATATTGTTGCCCTAAGGGTCACAGATGCAGTATAGTAAGTATCCCTTGGCTTTTGAAAATCACTCTGATCATTCATTAGGTGTTCACCGCACATTTCCACAAAACAATTCTATAGATTCTTGTGCAGCTCATATTCACACAATACCCTTTAATAAAGTCCCTTGCTTGCGAAAAGAGTCATTCGTGGCTGAGATCATCCCGCATCCGTTATGACGTGTAAGGTCGCTGAGATCATCCCCCATCCACTATGACCCGTAAGGTCGCAGAGATCATCCCCCATCCGCTATTTGTTGCTTCATTATTACATAGATCTGGATGTGTTGCTTTTATGAACTCAGTCTCTCAATTTTGATAAATGTGGATTTGCCTTGCTTCTTCAGACATGGCCAAAAAAAGAATGTTGCCAAAAAATAAATACTAGCTAAAAGGGAGGGAATCGGTGTGGGGTCTTCATCTATGAAGAAGGGTGTTAAAAACATCAAATAGATAAAAAAACCCAATGAAGAAAGTAAAATATGATCCCAAGTACAGATCAAAAACACTTGTCATTATAAGGGCAATGCATGAAATTGTGCTGAGAGAGGAACACAAGAGTACGTTGGAAAAAGGCTCCATTCTCATTATTCTTTGAAAGTGTCNGACCAAAGTGTGGGGTCTTCATCTACGAAGAAGGGTGTTAAAAACATCAAATAGATAAAAAACCCAATGAAGAAAGTAAAATATGATCCCAAGTACAGATCAAAGACACTTGTCATTATAAGGGCAATGCATGAAATTGTGCTGAGAGAGGAACACAAGAGTACGTTGGAAAAAGGCTCCATTCTCATTATTCTTTGAAAGTGTCCTAGAGAATAAAGTGGATAAGACATGGTGCATGTAGAGTGATAACAACATCCTTGATATCAACATCAATAGATGCAACCAATCATCCGAAGGATAAATTTTTTATGACTATATTACCGCTATAAAAAAAAAAANTTGGAAAAAGGCTCCATTCTCATTATTCTTTGAAAGTGTCCTAGAGAATAAAGTGGATAAGACATGGTGCATGTAGAGTGATAACAACATCCTTGATATAATTGTGTGTTTCAAGGTCAAAACCTCTAAATTTCATATAGGAGAGGAAGAAGTCAATAGATGCAACCAATCATCCGAAGGATAAATTTTTTATGACTATATTACCGCTATAAAAAAAAAAACATTCCTCCAAAACAAATTTTTTTGTAACAATAAAATTGCTGCCATAAAATACTTATCTGAAAATGTCTTACCACCTTTTGAGACCAAATGACATTGCACTAATTAAAAAAATTTAGGTCAATTGTCACGTCATTTAAACTTCTAATTTATTCTCAAAATTTGATTTGATTTTTTTAAGTTCCTCTTTATGCAAGGATTCTGGGTCATCGTACGAGTCCCCAGGCTGGGCACATGGACTGAGGATTTTAATATGTCAATTTGTAGCAATAGTTTTTGAGTTTGAAGTTTTCAAATGAATACATTAAAACATGTTCCCACAAGAGAGGCCAAATTGATGGGATTATGAGTTATTTAATTCTCACAATGCGATAAATTTTAAATTTTATTATACCATATTTTTAAATTTATTTATCAAGTGACAGTACTTTTTAAAAAACGGATTCAACATTCTTTTTTTTATTAGAAAGTTGATTCAATATCCCACTTTTGTTAGAAGACGGAGTCAACAACTCCACTTTTAAATAAAAAAACGTGATTTAAATACGAAAATTTTATAGGCAACAGGTGAAAATCGTGTTTACTATACAAACACGTTTTCAAGCAAAAGCAAAACAAAAAAACTTATTTAGTAAATACTCTTTTCATCTATTATGCCTGTTTTGGACTTAAAATATAAAATTATAAGAACATTTCATGGATTGACATCGATCGAGTCAACAAGTACTAAGAAGCTGTCACGTGTCAGAATCTAGAGAAAGGCGGGAGATGATCAACCATGACCTTTTTTGAAAAGACAAAATAACTATCTAGGAGCTACCACCCAAGTAACTTTCAATGGTGGAAGAATTAACCGTCGAAGATAATGGTTATAAAAGGCAGAAGAAGAGGAAGTGTAGGACAATTTAAACCCCCACAAAACCTACGATCAGGACATTTTAAGAGTTAATTTTGGGACTTAACTAATATACTAAAAAAAATACACACACATACTAATAGAGATTACTTAATCAAGTCCTTGATGCTCAATTTTCAAAATCTCTCAAGGTTTCTTTGAGATTTTGGCACCCAAAATTTTCGAAAAAATAACTTTGCTAACGCCTCGTCGTATTTTGTGTACTAAAATTGTATGTCTTTTTATTCTCCTTATATTTCTTATTTTCTACTTCTTGCCAACTTGCTAAGTCTTCATCATTTACTAGTGCTTTGAATTCAGCTTCAACTATATCGCATAAAGCTTATGATATAAGAATGGGCAAATTGGAAAGGGATACACTAAATTAGAATTAATTGTAAAAAAATACACACAAAAAAAATGTAAAGTGAGAACGTCCTTAATTTTAGTTCTTAATTGAGTCCAGGTATATAATTTGAATTTTTTTTTATTTTTCTTTGACATTTGTATCCTCCCTTAAATTATGCGATTATTTTTGGAAACTGTTACTAATTTAATAGAAGATTTGATTCTTCCGTTTATTTTGAGGATAAGTTAGTTGGTTTGAATTTTAAATTTTGCAACAGTATCATTTGTTGTTTTCTTTTTCTTGTTCTTTGGCGTGGTAGTAATTTATCAGTGTAAATCCAAAACATTATTTCATCCTTATAATTCAATCTAAGCAATTACAAGGTTTGAATTTATGACTACATTAGGTTCATGTCTGTCATTTTAAGGTGTTTATAATATTTTTTTATATTTGAACACCATAACCAAAGTTCATCCTGTATATGTTTATGATATAATAAAAACAGTGTAAAAATTTACTTACACAAAATACTATATTGTTACATTTTATCAAACATATATTTGCATATAACTTCGTTGTAACAGTCCAGTTATGTTTTAAATTTGTTACCATAGCCACAAAACAAATAAACATTGTCTGTGTTACACACTATTGTTACATTATCTTTGTTACACTGTGCGGAGAACACAGACGAACTTAAATCTATAATGGCGAACGAGTATGATTTTTCTTTCAAGGACAAAACCCTGTAGATGTTCAGGGAATGATTTAGGGCTTCTCTCCAAGGAAAATGAAGCAGTTTTTGGATAAGAAGAAAAAGAGGTAACTGTTTTTCGAAGATGAAATTTTTCGCGAATTAATGTTCTTAAAATTCAGTTGTTGAGCCTTATTACTGTATACCTAATTAATTTTAAGATATATTCTTAAAACCATTTTTGAAAAAGTAATGTTTCTAAAATCATGCGTTATGCCTTATCATTGTGTACCTAATTAATTTAAGATGTATTCTTAAAATAGTTTGTAGGAAAGTAAATTTTAGAAAATAGACAGTTAAGTTTTTGTATCTCTGTAGTGTAATTTTTCACAACATATTTTTTTCCGTATATTTTTTTACAATTATGTTTAATTTAGTGTTCCAACTTCTAAATAAACCCTTCAATTAGATGCTCCAATAATTATAATTTTTACCCTTGAAAATTGGGACATGAGCTTTATAGCATAATTGAACGTGAAAGTGTTGGCTTCTATTATAAAAAAACGAAAATTGTTCAAAACCCCATTCAGACCCAATTAGTGATTCATTCAATAATTATTCGATTGGTTTGTGTTATTATCTTTGGTTTTTGGATGGCTATATATTGAGTCCCAATTTTAGTTACGGAAATAGTGAAACAAATTCAATTTTTATCGTCCTAGATATTAAGATTAAATGAAATTTACTATTTAATATTTTACATATTTTAAAGCCAAATAAATCAGGTAAAATTAATTCCTAATTTCAATTACCAAAATAAAAAAAGTAAAATTTTTA